TTTGATAATCCTAAAAAATAAATAACATCCCTTACAAATATCTCATAGTGAGATAGAACATGGTGTCAGGTGTAAATAAGAACCTGAAAGAAAAAAGAAAATGAAGGTAAAGCGGAATTAACGTCCACCTTGCAAGAAACATTTCAACCGATCACACAACCCTTAAATACTCTACTTAATCAAATCCAATCAAATCCTCGGGTGGAAGCAGCTGAGATCAAGAAAAGTTAAAAAAAAAAAAAGTTGACACTAAAAAAGATCCCACCGATGATGATGGTGATGAATTTGATGAAAATGACTATATAGACGCTCATAGTGGTGGTGGTGATGAACGTCATGGAGCAAATGCATCTCAACGGACAAAAGACACTAAAAACACACGTGATGCTATCAATCCTATAGCGCAAACCTACATTGATAGGATTATCATTGATCAGACTAAAAAAATACCCTACGGTGTTTATCTCACTCCAAATGGTTATTACATAGGTAACAGTACAATTGATTTTGGTGTAAACCAGTTGACAATTCAAAATGAGAAGTTTAAATGCACACCTGAATTGTTGGAACCCTTGTTTAAAAGAGAACCTAATACATCACTCATTCAACCATCGGATAGTGATAACTACTATAGAATAATTATGATAACAAACGCGCATAGACGTAACTTCTCGTCCGACGGTCAAATACAAGGTGAAAAGAGTCTCAAGTACATACATACATAAAGCAGGCAAATTCAACGCATCCTTTACCTAGTATAAAAAAAGTAGGTGGATGTTTGAAGCAATCATCAACAAATAAAGATTCTGAAACGTCAGGTCTGTTAATGAAGAATTACTTCCAGAACACAGATTATATATATTGGGATGACGTCAATGAGCTTGTAGATAGATTACGTTTGCTCGTAGCTTCACAAAACGCTGGTAACACTGCTCATGGAAATGAAATAATTTCCATCATTGAAGAATTAGTGGAAGCTATACAACAACAACTTCCAGTGAATTATTCAAAATAACTCTCATCCACACACGCACACACCTTTATTGCAAGCATGACTGTCAATAAGTTTGGACGTTATCTTCAGCAAAACAAATCTAGTAAACCAACTTCACATCTTCTACGGGTTATGAAAATACAGGTGGATTTCGAAAATCGTTTGCTTAGAAACGTTAGTAAGGGAATTCTAAAATCAGATGTAGTATAAAGGCACAACTCGATGAAGTTTTGAACTTGTGTTTGACTAAGATTAAAGAAATCTCCCGAAAGCAAAGAAATTTTGAAAACCTTAGAAATCATCAATCGGATATACCACCGCCACCACCACTACCACCTACACCAACACCACATCTATCGCCACAGTTACGCACCAAGGAAAAAATAATCCAAAACCACCAGTCAAAACCCCATTGAAATCTACTATGAGCAAGAAGCAAGTTGTTCAGGAGCTTCATAAGAGTGCCCGCAAAAACTTCCCAAGCAGACGCTTCATACAAAAGGCACTTGATGACACATGGCAAATAGATCTGATTGACATGCAAAACTATGCTAAATACAATAATGGTTTTAAATATATTTTAGCATGTATAAATACATTTTCCAAATATCCATAAATTCCAATCAAGAGTAAATCAGCTGAGAATGTGGCACAAGCGATGCCCAAACTTTTAAACAACGACCTTGGGAGAAAACCAAAAAACATTCAATCCGATAATGGACGCGAGTTTTATAATGAAAAATTCCAGAACATAATGAGAAAATTCAGTATTAACCATTATTCCACATACAGTGTAATGAAGGCATCTATTGTGGAGAGATTTATTAGAACCATCAAAAGTTGGCTATGGCAGCGGTTCTCATTCAATGGTTCCTACAAATGGGTTGGCAAGGAATTGTCTAACATAATCATTAAATATAATAATAAAATACATCCCATGGGGTTGCCCCAGTGACTGTGACTCATAAAAATGCTAACGCTCTCTTATCTAATGTTTATAACCATATCAAAGTTCGACCTCGAGCGAGGTATGCTTGTTGTGAGAGGGGCGTTTGACGATCGATGCCGTGATGCGCCTTAGGGCCGTGACCGAGGAGGCTGTGAGCTGCGGCGGAGTGGTGTTGGCGGTGTCTTTGGACATCGCCAACGCCTTCAATAGTCTGCCATTCAGCTGCATCAGGGAAGCGCTCCGCTACCACGGAGTGCCGGAGTACCTGAGGCGGCTGGTGGCAGACTATCTTGAGGAGCGAACCGTCATGTACGAGGACCGAGATGGCGTCTTGAGACGCAGGGCCATGTCGTGCGGTGTTCCGCAGGGGTCTGTCCTAGGACCACTCCTGTGGAAAATTGGATACGACTGGGCCCTGCGAGGGCGTCTCCCCCCCGGGCTGGGTGTACTCTGCTACGCGGATGACACTTTAGTCACGGCCCGGGGGGCTAACTTCCAGGAGGCGGCGCGCCTGGCCGCCACGGGAGTTTCCCTGGTGGTCGGGCGCATTGAGGCGTTGGGTTTGCGGGTGGCCCTGGATAAGACGGAGGCCCTATTATTTCATGGGCCCCGTCGTGGTCCACCCGCCGGCGCCTCAATCGAGGTCGGCTCGGTCCTCGTACCGGTCCGGGCCCAGATGAGGTACCTGGGTCTGGTCCTAGACGGTAGGTGGCTCTTCGACGAGCACTTCCGACAGCTTGGTCCGAAGCTGCTGGTTTACACTGCCTCCGCCCTAGGGCGACTTTTGCCCAATTTGGGCGGAGCCAGTGTTCCCACGAGGCGGCTGTACGCGGGGGTTGTCCGGTCCATGGCGCTTTATGGTTCACCGGTGTGGGTGGCGGCTCTGACCGCCCCGAATAGGGCGCGCCTCTGGCGCCCCCAGAGGATATTGGCGGTCAGAGCCATACGCGGATACCGCACGGTGTCCACCGAGGCGGCTTGCGCCTTGGCCGGAACACCCCCGTGGGATTTGGAGGCGGAGGTGCTCGCCGAAGTTTATCGGCGAGTGGCTGACTTCCGGGCGGAGAGCGGATTTCGCCCTCCGCCCGAAGGCGTGCGCGAGTGGCGCGAAGCCGCTCGCCGAGCCACCATGGTCAGATGGTCGCTCCGGTTGGGGACTCCACGCGCTGGTTTCGCCGCCGTGGAGGCTCTCCAGTCGGTCATCGCTGAGTGGGCAGGGCGGCAGCACGGAACCCTTTCCTTCCGGCTGACGCAGGTGCTTTCCGGGCACGGTTGCTTCGGAAAGTACCTGTACTCGGTCGCTAGGAGGGAATCGAGTCCCGCCTGCCACCACTGCGACTGCAGTGAGGATTCGGCCCAGCACACGCTGGCGGCTTGCCCCGCATGGGCGACGCAGCGCCGGGCCCTCACTGCAGTCATCGGAGCAGATCTCTCGCTACCGGCCGTAATTCGCTCCATGGCCGGTAGCGACAGTTGTTTTACCGCGGTCGCAACCTTCTGCGAGGAGGTAATCTCGCAGAAGGAGGCGGCGGAGAAGGCCCGGGAGGACGACCTCCACTCGGACCTGATCCGCCGCCGGCGAACCGGGCGGCGGAGGCGGGCTTACCTGCGCCTCATGCCGCCCTGAGTGTGGCCGCGGGTGGACGGGATGGGTTCTCCCCTCCACCCGCATTAGTTGGCCAGCCGCGAGGGGGCGGCGTCCGCGTGTGCCGGACGTCGCCTAAAGAGAGGGTCCACTGAGACGGAGCCCGCATCAGGAGCGGGCCGGCGCTGGGAGGGATTCAGAAGGAGATAGCTACCTGGACCCCTCCTAAACTGGAAGCGCAAAGAGGGCACACCGTGTGGTTTTAGTCGGTTCGAGTCCGACACACCGCCCCGCCGAACGAGAGCCCCGGCGGGGTGACGGTCCGAGGGGATTTCCACACGTAAAAAAAAAAAAAAAAAAAAGGTATGCTTGTTGTGATTACGTCAGAATAAGTAAATATAAATCAATTTTTTCCAAAGGATACACGGGAAACTGGAGTACGGAGATATTCTGCGTGATTAAGGTCAATAATACCAACCCAGTGACTTATATGCTGCAAGATGAAGGAAAACAACCAATCTTAGGTGGTTTTTATGAACATGAGATACAAAAGGTTAAGTATCCCGATATGTATTTAGTGGAAAAAGTGTTGAAAAGAAGTGGTGATAAAGTACTAGTCAAATGGCTTGGCTTGAATTCAACCAGTTGGATAAATAAAGACAACAAGATAAATAATTAAATAATGTTTTATTTCATAGACAAATTATTAACCTCCAACCTATTAATTTTAAAACGAATAATATTTTACATTGTAGGTTATATTTAATACACAAATAAAATTCGCAGTTTTACGTTTCAGATACATTTAAAAAAGAACATTCGCTGGTTTTTTTTTTTATAAAACATCAAAGTCGCAATTAGCACTCAAAATACAAATACAAGAACAAACATCAGATTAGACAATAATATTACTCAAATAAATCTGTCGCGAATTTAATAAAATTACTAAAATATAGGTTACTTCGCTGGCTTATACATTATTATTATTTTTACAAATACTTAGGTACCACCATGCAAACACTTGAACCTCCACACCACTACAATGACTGGTCTGCAATTGACTATGTCTATTACAATTTTTAAAACCCAATTTATACTCTGCTATTAGTTTTTCCACTTTTGGACTGCCATAATCCTCCAAATTAACACATTTAAAGCCTAACCTAGTTAGCAGTGTTTTTTGTATGCCCACAAGTATTCACAATGAGGATCAAGCGTACTGAGAAACATTAAAAAGTTTTCGTATGATATATCACTCGCATGATTACATAGCGGCATGCCATGTACATGTTGAATGCAATAACGAATCTCTGAGGTTACAGGCCTAAGCAGTAACCATGTAGGTAACTTTACATGTAACACTCGTACTTGTTGTGTAGTTAAATCGAAAATTCTAGCTTCTTTACAAAAAAAACCCAATTTTTTAACCATATACCCATCTAAATCTATAATATATTTTACTGTTGACATTTTCATATACTATCTAGTCCACCAATTGCACCAACAGCCAACAATAAAATGTTTAGCACTATATTTCCCACACTTTCAGAGAATACTGTATGGAAGCAGTCTGATGGCAAAACTGATATAATTTCAAGCCACTCTTCACACTCAACGTTCCCACTGGTATTATTGATTGCATCACAGATATTATCCCAAACTCGAAGCGCAGCGTAAATTTCTTCATCCAGACAGTCACTATTAGTATAAATACGACAAAGAAGGATATTAACATCTTCGCATATTTGAGATAGGGCACTGCTCGCTTCCACAAACGTAAACACCTGTCACTGCTGAAAAAGTGCACCCAATCCCTTTTAAAGCCATCGTATATGGTAGCAAGCATAGCGTCGTACATGGTTATTTTAAAATTATCTTGAAAAACTGCAATAAAAATTATATTCTTATTATACTAATAACCCATCTGTAAAGATGATTTTCCATATTTTACCATTTGGACCCTTATTTATCATATACACTCCGGTCTGAAGGTGTTCAAACATATCATCACTGAGATCATTAAATCTCGACGGTAGGGTAATTATATACCCATTCTCTAATTGAACGTATGTATACGCATCGTATTCACATAATACTTCGAAGGCACTCGAATCGCCTCAATAATTTTATGGGGTTTATCTATTTCAAGATCCCCCATGTTCATCCACGTTCTATTACCATATTGGTTTAGTTTGGAAATAGTTTACTTCGAAGACATATTTATAAAATATTATTCACTTACAATTTCTTCGTTGGTAGAGGTTACCCTGTTATATATTTTATTAAATTCACGATATATTTATTTCAGTTAGCACGGTATTGGACTCTGAATGTATTATGGTAAAAGTCCATTCCTGAGTCATATTTATATGAACCCATATCTATACATTTTCATAGGACTTAACCATAATAATAGATACAAAAGTAGGAAAAACTGATATCAACAATGTATTCTAACCACAATAAAATTTAATATAAAAATTACACCAATGTATTCTAACCACAAAAAAAATTATAAAATTATGATGATGATTCCTTAGTATACCTATTGGTTCCTTAGTAGGTATACTCGCTTCACATTCTACATCTGACATCTCATTCCCCCCTAATTTATCTAATTGGTGATGAGCCCAATGCAGAACACTCTCAATCACTCTTCTATATGCCATACACTTTTCGCTTAAAGGTTTATCTGTGACCAGGATAGGAAGTGGACTCTTCTCAGTTATTTCTTTCTCCCCCCACAATTCAGTGGTGGTTCCTTCACTTCCTTCGTTAGGTTTGAGAGTTGTAATCTTACCACCTCTAGGTACTTTTACACTTATCTCCAAACCTCTCTCATCTCTATAGGCTTGCTCATACAAATTGGATGACCACTTTTGCTGTAAAGTACTCCCCTCCCAACCACTTCGCTTGCTACGGTGATGGTGTGGGAATCTTGTAATTTCCAATTTATACAGTAACAGTGTATTACTCTCACTACACAATGTTATATTTATTTCAGGTGCTTTATCCACATTAAAAATACTTCTTAAAATCGTAGAGTGGCTATTCAAATCGTCTTCATCGCGAAAATAAAATTCAATTAGAAATCTCTTCAAACGCACACCGTTACTATCCAAGAGATCTACCTGTTTTATATTCCACTGACCATCATAAGTACATAAATCCATCAAATCTTCACTTAATGTTCTTGAAATTATTCTTGTCTCCATTTCGCTACTGTTATCACGCAGCATGTGAAGCACCACCACCCACGGTAATATAGTTGCGTACAACATTGTTACACCGAATACCACTCTTGTGATTCTCTCTTTCGATTTAAAAACATCACAATATATGGGAATAGTTAATCTAAAATGGTGTGACCATATAATCATGGACTTCCATAATATTATATATTTTGTTTACACAACAAAGATCATACACTAAGAGCGTATACCACATGAGTAACTCAAGTCCTGATTTTTATGCAACAATTTAAGCATACAGCAGTTACAAACTCCATGCGTTTCTTGCAAAATACTTCCATTATTTTTTATTTTATTTTATTTTATTTTATTTATTAGGGACAAAAAACAGTTATACAATGCAGTCTTTACAATTGATTTAGCATTTACATATTTAAAACGTATAACCCACACTATTGTCCACGAGTTTATAGATGAAGTAGAAAAGGTAACGGACGCGCACTATACAGAATCGGTGAATTATATGTAATAATATAAGATAGGTAGGTAGTTAACTGAGAATGTTATCAAAGATCAACAAGAATTTCAGTGGCAATTTTTTTAAATTTAGAGTGAGTGAGAGCGAAAATATTCAAGCTCGTAACATGTGAGTTGTACGTTGTCAATAATCGGCGAAGAGGTGCACGCTCTCCAGCATTAGTTCTACACTTTTCCGTGTAGAATAATCAAGGTACGCGCACCTCCCTCCGAATGACAGACCTGGGTACTACATAACATAGCCTGTTTGATAATTGCGTACAATTATACTTGTTATTGCATGTGCCGTACAGCATCATTAACATTAGTAAGATGCGTCTATGCTCCAAGCTTAAGAGCTTAAAATGTTTCAGAAGATCCACATAAGGAATCTTAGTATGAAAACATTTGTAACAAGTAGTACGAAAAATTTTTTCTGTACCATTTCAATCCTCTGCTTATATTTCTTATAAAAGGGACTCCAGATGGGTACAGCATACTCTAACTGGGAACGGACTAGTGCTTTATATAGGAAAAGGTAGGTAGTGGGCTTTTTGAAGTCTTTACAAGAGCGCATGACGCAACCATACATCCGAAAGGCTTTACTTATGATATTGTCGACATGAATATCTAAATGTAATTTAGAATCTAGATGAACACCAAGATCTCGAGTACATTCGTTTTTCCTTAGATTTGTGTCATTCAGTGTATATGGAAAGTTAATTGGACTTTTGTTCTTTATGAAGGATATAAAGTGACATTTTGGTAAACTAAGGTGCAGTTTATTAACAACAGAGTACTGTGAGAGCCTACAAAGATCTTCTTGCAATAGTATCTAATCAATAATTGCACTCTTACAACATCCTCCATTGTATCAGTAATATACCAATACAATATAATATTATATTGATTTATAAATCACACAACACTCTATAAATACCTACGCCTCCTACAAAAAAAACATTCTTATCACATTCACACACAGATATTGCAACCTCAGTATCCGCCCAAGCAACATTGTTGTACTCAACCAACCAGTCAAACAATGAACATAAATTCATCTCGCAAGACATCATAATGGCCTCACTCACACATCCCGCACGCGCGCCGAACCTCAGCTGGAAGGCAAAAGTCGCTTCTTATCACATTCACACACAGATATTGCAACCTCAGTATCCGCCCAAGCAACATTGTTGTACTTTTTTTTTTTTTTTTTTACGTGTGGAAATCCCCTCGGACCGTCACCCCGTCGGGGCTCACGTTCGGCGGGGCGGTGTGTCGGACTCGAACCGAATAAACCACACGGTGTGCCCTATTTGCGCTTCCAGTTTAGGAGGGGTCCAGGTAGTTATCGCCTTCTGGACCCCTCCCAGCGCCGGCCCGCTCCTGATGCGGGCTCCGTCTCAGTGGACCCTCTCTTTAGGCGACGTCCGGCACACGCGGACGCCGCCCCCTCGCGGCTGGCCAACTAATGCGGGTGGAGGGGAGAACCCATCCCGTCCACCCGCGGCCACACTCAGGGCGGCATGAGGCGCAGGTAAGCGCGCCTCCGCCGCCCGGTTCGCCGGCGGCGGATCAGGTCGTCCTCCCGGGCCTTCTCCGCCGCCTCCTTCTGCGAGGAGGTAAGGCGACCGCGGTAAAACAACTGTCGCTACCGGCCATTGAGCGAATTACGGCCGGTAGCGAGAGATCTGCTCCGATGACTGCAGTGAGGGCCCGGCGCTGCGTCGCCCATGCGGGGCAAACCGCCAGCGTGTGCTGGGCCGAATCCTCACTGCAGTCGCAGTGGTGGCAGGCGGGACTCGATTCCCTCCTAGCGACCGAGTACAGGTACTTACTTTCCGAAGCAACCGTGCCCGGAAAGCACCTGCGTCAGCCGGAAGGAAAGGGTCCCGTGCTGCCGCCCTGCCCACTCGGCGATGACCGGCTGGAGAGCCTCCACGGCGGCGAAGCCAGCGCGTGGAGTCTCCAGCCGGAACGACCATCTGACCATGGTGGCTCGGCGAGCGGCTTCGCGCCACTCGCGCACGTCTTCGGGTGGAGGGCGAAATCCGCTCTCCGCCCGGAAGTCAGCCACTCGTCGATAAACTTCGGCGAGCACTTCCGCCTCCAAATCCCACGGGGGTGTTCCGGCCAAGGAACATTGTTGTACTCAACCAACCACCAAGAACCATCCGACACATACCAAAAACATACTCCACACAGCTCAATTTACAACAGTCCAAACTTTTTTGAACGCCTTCTAAACGACCAAAACCAACATAACATGAACCAAACATACACTACACTACCATACTAACAGAGCTCTACTTAGGCTGGACTTCCGGTGGTCCAGAACCGGCAATTCCTCTCTACTAAGGAAGTAACAATAAAATCCCTTTGTGTAGAACTAATTCCCTGTGATTTGATAGAAGAATTTTCATATAAAATTAATTCTATTAATCATTCTAATTCCAAAGTATTGGTGTCAAACAGACCTCACGAAGTTCAGAAACTGATACGGACTTCCCACCTTAACCTTGAAGAATCAACGGCTTTACTTGACTTATGCTCAGAATACTCAGATCTGTTCCACTTAGAAGGAGATACTCTTACTTGTACAAATACCTTAGAACATAAAATCAAAACAACTAGTTCACAGCCTATTCATGTCAAAACATATAGATATCCCGAATGTCATAAAGAAGAAGTCAACAAACAAATAAAGAAAATGCTAGATCAAAACATAATAAAACCCTCTGATTCCCCCTGGTCTTCTCCTATTTGGGTGGTACCAAAGAAGCAAGATGCTTCTGGCAAAAAGAAATGGCGTATTGTCGTAGACTATAGAAAACTGAATGACATTACTGTCGGAGACGCTTATCCTATTCCTAATATTACAGAGATTCTAGATCAATTAGGTCATAGTAAGTACTTCAGTACGTTAGACCTGGTGTCAGGTTTCCACCAGATTGGTATGAGCACAGAAGATGCTCCCAAAACTGCTTTTTCGGTCCCTAATGGCCACTTCGAATATATTCGAATGCCTCTTGGGTTAAAAAATGCACCTGCCACTTTCCAAAGATTGATGAATACCGTGCTTTCCGGTCTCCAAGGTCTCCACTGCTTCATATATTTGGATGACATCATCTGCTATTCTCACTCACTCTCTTCTCACATAGATAAACTTAAACTCATATTCGAGGCTCTTAGAAAGCATAATCTTAAGTTATAGCCAGATAAGTGTGAGTTCCTAAGACGGGAAGTCGCTTATTTAGGTCATACTATTACCGATAAAGGCGTATCTCCTAACCCCGACAAGGTAAAAGCCGTATCAAACTATCCTATTCCCAGAAACCCGAAGGAAATAAAATCCTTCCTTGGCCTGATAGGATATTATAGAAGATTCATAAAGGATTTCTCTAAAATTACAAAACCTCTAACTTCATTACTTCGTAAAGATTCTACTTTCGATTGGACTTAAAATCAAGAAAATGCTTTTAATACTCTTAAGTCTATGTTAACAAGTGCTACCAATAAGTGTTAACAAGTTCTTCAATATCCTGATTTCTCGAAAGGTTTTATACTCACAACAGATGCTTCAAATTATGCCTTAGGTGCAATTCTTTCACAGGGCGAAATGGGCCAAGATCTCCCTATTGCATATGCTTCTCGAACTCTTAATAGAGCAGAAGGTAATTATAGTACCACCGAGAAAGAACTTCTAGCAATCTTGTTTGGAGTCAAAACTTTTGGACCTTATATCTACGGTAGAAAGTTTAAAATAGTAACTGACCACCGTCCTCTTGTTTGGCTTTGTAATTGTAAAGATCTCTCAAGTAAACTAGTTCGATGGAGCCTTAAATTAGAAGAATATGACTACGAAATCGTTTATAAGTCCGGTAAAACAAATCTTAATGCTGATGCCTTATCTCGTCCTCCAATATATAATATTGATGATATAGATCTTAGTAATGATATAATTTATGGAAATTTCATTCGATCTCGTTCTAGTCCAATGGTTTTTACTACTGTAGTTCACGAATTCAATCAAAGTCTTTTGAAAACATCCTGCAATACTATTGCTTATCCAACATCAATCTATCTAGATTCTTCTAACCCTTACTGTGAAGAAATAATTAACCTTTTAGATAACGTAGAAGTCTTTAAAAACTCTGAAAAGGAATTATATTCTGTAAAAACTTCCAATATTAATAATAAAACATATTTTCATATTTTAAAGTACATCACTATGACTCTTGTAATTACAGAGACATATTTAACGTATTAAACAATCTTCGTAATTAATTAATTATATTTCATCCCGATGTAAAAGAAATCTCTATGTCTGATTTTTCCAATCCATTTGAAAAGCTTCAATTTCTAATGATCTATGAAATCATTTGTTTTATTTTCCATAACACTAATATCACCGTAAACATATATCATAATAAAATAATTTACCCAACCCCTAACGAAGTTTCTACAATATTGAAAGATAATCATGATTCGCCTATTGGCGGACATATTGGTTCATCGCGGTTATATAATAAATTAAAGGAATCTTACTTCTGGAAAGGTATAAAAAACGATAT